GAGGGAGGGGGGGGGAGAGAGAGAAGCCTTATCCCAAGATTATTTATTTAATTAATTGTATTAATTATGATTCACTTATTTAAATTTATATAGCCACCGACTCACGCAGGGCAACTCTAGATGGGTCAAGTTCCACTGACTAGATGGAAAGAATTAACAGCCTAGATAATAGGCCAGTTGAAATATTCGTTTTTAAAATACGGGGAGTTTTTTTTTAAAAAAAACTTTTTAAAGGTTCATTTGAACTCAGGCCTCATTTTAAAAAAAAAGAAGAAATCCAGAGAGACCGGGTTCAAAGTAGGGAGCACGCACATTGGGAAAGGATCCGCGTCTTCCCTCCTCCTCCCCGCCGACACTGAATTCTCCAAGACCAACCTGAAGCGGCGGCAGCGGCGGTGGCGGCATCGCCCCTTTGGGCTCCGCATTAATCACGCTGACACTTCCATTCATCCGGTAGCCCCGGGCGGGGGCGTTAATCGCGGGCCCTTTTTTGAGCTGTGAAGGGTGAAACGTTTTGCCATATGCTGAAGCTCCCTCTCTCGGAGCGAGGGAATTAGCCGACCCGTAGGTCCTGGGGATGGATAGCTCTTTCCACCCCGCTCAGCAAAGAGAGGCGGGAATCAGGCTCTCTGAGGCAGGCCAGAAGCCGGTGCTTGTCCCCACCCCAAATAACCCATCCTTGTAAAAATAGATAAAAGGGGAATATTATTCTGCCTCAGCCTTTGCCTGCCCCATATATATATATATATATATATATGTGTGTGTGTGTATATATACATACATACATACATACATACATACATACATACATACATACATACATACATACATACATACAATATATATATTCAAAGGCAATGCACTGGATCTCCGGTTTAAGTCACACCACGCAAGCACGGACCTAACACTTTGATGGATACCGAATAAAAGGCATATTTCCTGCGTCGGCTTAAAAAAGACCAAAACCCCCTCAAATTAAAAGCAGGAAGCAGCCGGTTAAGGCTCGTTCCCCGAGAAAAGGGCAGGGAAGGATCTGGTGCATCTTCTCAGCAGGGAATCCCCTGCGGAAAGCTTGGCCCGGGCACCAGGGGGGAAACCTAGAGATCTAAGCTCCGGGGCTGCCAGTCCCACCAGTTAATAAGACTATCTGACGATTCCGTAATCCGAGTCCAGCTTGGATCTCAGGGCCGCCTCTCGAGGTCCAGATCCGCGGGGTTCAAAGGAGCTGAAAGTCTCCGGGGAGAGTCCCGGAGCTTTCCTTGGAAAGCTACCATCGGGGTAACCTGGGGGTCTCAGAGGGGGAAAGAAGGGCAGCAGAGGCGAGCGATTTGGACTCCAATAGAATTGAGTCCCTCCAACCCTGGATCGTCCCGTGGTTTGTTCTACTACCCCTGAACATTTCCAGGGTTGTTTCTTCTTGCTGGGTCGAGGGGGGGGGGGGGGTTCTCTTAAAAGTCTCGGCGAATGGAGGGCCAAAGAACGGGACTGGGCGCGACGTCCCTGTGCGGAAAAAGTCCTAGAAAAGTGCGGGCTGCGGATTTCTCCGCCCGCCGTGGAGTGGAGTCGAGCTCCCACTTGGCGGAGGGGAACATGGTCGGCTGGACGAGTTGTGGGGGGGGGGGGGGAGGAGGCTTCTCTGGCGGATAAAAGGGGGCAGTTGAATTGATGCTCCAGTCCGAGCCTGGAGACTTTTCGCGCCGGCGATCCACAGTCTCGCCAAGACCCTCATTTCAGGCCCAGGCGTCACTGACTGTTGCTGCTCGGGGGTAGGCCAAAAAAGTCAAAATGGCGGTCACGACGTCGACGCTGTCTTGTACATAAATACGAGTAGAGGATTCGGTGGCACCGCCATCTTGACTTTTCTGACCATAGTTGGCCGACTCCACCTCACCCCTATTAAAAACCCTTCTTGACAAAATTAGTGCTAATTAATTTGGTTTCCAAAAGGCCGGAACCAACTTCAGGTCGGATGCTTTCCCTCTCCCTGTCTTCGGGACCCCGAGGACATGTTGTGGTAGCAACGGTCGACTCACAAAGGTCTCGGCCCTGTCGGACAAAGGATGCTTCTCACGGGATAGGCAAACTGATGAGGTAGAAACACCAGCTGACACTAAGATTTCGGGGTCATCGGAAAGTGCCCAAGAATGTTGTTCCGGACACGTTTGTTATATATATATATTTATATTAGCCTCACACTGACGTTGTATTGATCCTTGGGATGGCTTCTTAGTTTTTAACTCGGTTATGTCTATGGAGATTCTCAGTCATCTTGTCCCAAACCATGATCTGGAGACTGAGAATCTCCATAGACATTTGGGACTTAGCCTGTTATATGAACCCAGTCATTTATGGTTTTGTAACTGGAGGGCTTAACGCAGTGTGCGCACCAAGGTTAAACAAACTCCGGGCTAGTGCAAGGTGTAAATCCATGCACGGAGCGCCTTTTGATAGTAGCCTGAATTATAAATAAAACAAATAACCGGTTTCTCTTATTTTAACAGGGACCGGACATCCAAGCGACTATATTTAAGGGACCCCGAGGTGCCGAGTTTGCGGAAACCCCTGGAAAGAAGCGGGGGGGGGGGGGGGGCGCGCTTGGCTTTATTCCACGACTGAGTGTGTGGGATCTCTGGGCCTCTGAGCTTGCTCTCTCTTCCCGGGGAGCCTCCGAGGGCGGCTGGTGCGGATCTCCTCCCCATCACGAGGCCACCGCTTCATTTTATCCTAGTTGGTGGCATTGCGGGTCAAAAAAAAGAGAGAGATGTCCCGCGTCTGGATCCCTCGAAATCTATCCCCTCCCTTCATCGATGCTTCTTCGCCTCGCCAGGGTAAGTTAAAGCCGGGCGCGGCGGGATGTCTGGCGGACGAGCAAGTAAGACCGACCCCAGTTAACGGGGCGAGGGAGATCGGCAGGACAGGCGACCCCGCAGTCGCTCTGCACTTGAGAAATATTTGGGAGTGGGAGGGACCTTCCTATTTGCTTAGTAAGCACTTCTTTCCCTGCCCAGCAAGGGGTGGGGATGGGGGGGGGGTTAAGCTGCCTGGCGTCTCATCGCCAACAGACGGGACTCTGGGTGTTTCACCTCCGACTTTTCCCCAGACCAGCAGCCCCCAACCTTTCGGGTACCAGGGACCATTTCCACGGAGAGAGTTTTTTTCCCCCGCGGAATGGAGGGGGCGTAGTTTCTTGTGCTGCCTGCATCCCACGGATAAGACTTCGCTTGTTTGCCTGGACCGGTTTCTGGCGTGCTGCGGGCCGGTGCCGATCCGCAGGCCGGGGGTGGGGGAAGGGTTGGGGGCCCCTGCCCGAAACGACTCTGGGTGACTTCTGCCTTTGAGTGCGAGCGCCAAAGGGAGGCAAATCGCCTCCTCCCGCCCCCTGATGAAGGCTGATCGCGGCCAAACCCATCAAGACTCCGCCAAACGGGACTTTTGACATAAGCGGTATCAACTTTTCGCCTTCTCCGGGAAGCGGGGATTCCGCGCCGCCTGCTTAAAAAAGGAGCTGCAATCTGGCCAGGGAAACAAAACGAAATGGAAAGTGAGAACCAAGGCAACCATCGTCCGAAAGTCTCCACCCCCCTCCCCCTTCTGCAGTTTACTGTGCATGGACGGGACACACAGGAACTTTCAGTCTCGGCCACGAATCGAAACGCTGAAAACAAGGGAAACCTCGGAAGCCGAGCGCAAGGGCGAATGAGGCAAACCGCGCCTGCGCCCGGCTGTCCTGTCTGGGAGGCTGGGAAAGCGTCGCCTCAATCCCCGCCCTGCGCTTTACTGAATGGGAGGCGGAAATGCGCTCACTTTTCATCAATGGGAGCCAGGACCGGAGGGGAGGAGCCAAGGGTTCCGGCGGCACCGCCCCTTCACTAGGCTGTCACCCCGCCTCCTCCTCCTCCTCCTCCTCCCTCCTCCTCTGCCCTCAGATACACACACTGGCCATGCATCAAATAGGCAAGCTTAATGCCTTTGCAAACACAGAGCGCGCAGCGCCCGCTTCTCGGTGACAGCCGGTGGAGGTAGCTGGGGAACGAGCCGTCCAGATCGCACTAGAAATGTGTACCACCGCGGGCTTCCGCGCCTGCCCATTCCGAAGCGCTCGCTTCCTACGCCTTTAAAAGTTTACTTTCTCGACCTTCCGCCACCTTCGGCCCCAGCAGCCTCGCGATCGCAAGCGGGAGGCGGCGCAGTTGGAGGAAGGATCGGCGAGAGAAAGTTTGGGCAACTTTGTGGCAGAGGCTGAGACAGGACGGCGGAGAGAGGAGTTGCCGCCGCCGAATTCTGGCCCCGAGAAGCCGAGCGGTGATTCAATTCTTGGCGGCCGAGACGATCGCTTTCCCCGCTGGTAGCAAGAGGCCGGTGCGTGGGAGAATCACGCGGGGAGTCCGGAAGGAAAGTGGAGAGCAGGCGGAGGGGAGGAGCGCCCGGCTTCCTCGGCCGATTCCAGGGAAACTCGGCCATGGCAGGCGGGGAAGGGCGCCTCCTCGCCTTCTCCAAGTAGCTGGAAAATTTGCACGGAGCGAACCGGACAGGTGCCGGCCGGGAGGCCGGCCTGGCAGGAAAGAGGAGCTGCCCTGGGACGGGACAATTCCGTGTGGGCGTCCCTTGAAAAGCTGGATTGATTTGGCCGCGGATTGAACTGCATCTTCCCCGACGTTGCCCGGTCCCTTTGCCTGATCGAAGTCGACTTCCTCGCTTCTCGTCACCCGCGGAGGCGGCGACGGCACTCTCTTCTGGGCGGCTGTCAAACGCCCTTCTCCCGCCGGGAGCAAGGTAGAGGCCGGGCGGACTTGAGTTTTAAAGGGAACTTTCCACTGCCTTTCCCTGAACGACGCGGGGCGGAGAGCCTCGACGGCAGAAGAGCGGAGGACCAAGACGACGGTGCGAGGATCGCCCCCCCGCGAGGAGGAGGGTGGGGGAGGCAACCTCGGATCCTGCTCCGCAGCCACCATTGATTTCCTGCGGGTGGCTCGCAGCGACGGGCTGGGCGCTGCTGCCGCCGCCGCCGCCGCCGCGGGCATGGCCAAGCCGGCGGACCACGTGAAGCGGCCCATGAACGCTTTCATGGTGTGGTCGCGGGCGCAGCGGCGCAAGATGGCCCAGGAGAACCCCAAGATGCACAATTCGGAGATCTCCAAGCGGCTGGGCGCCGAGTGGAAGCTGCTGAGCGAGGCCGAGAAGCGCCCCTTCATCGACGAGGCCAAGCGCCTGCGGGCCATGCACATGAAGGAGCATCCGGACTACAAGTACCGGCCGCGGCGGAAGCCCAAGACGCTCCTCAAGAAGGACAAGTTCGCCTTCCCGGTGGTGTCCTACGGCTTGCCCGACGCCTCCGACCCCCACGTCCACCCCCTCGGACCGCATCACCCGGCGCTCAAAGCTGGCGCCCTCCACGGCCACGAAGCCCTGCTGGCCAACCCGGAGAAAGCCGCCGCCGCCGCCGCGGCAGCAGCCCGCGTCTTCTTCCCTCCCTCCGCCGCCGCCGCCGCAGCGGCCGCGGCAGCAGCGGCGGCGGGGGGCAGCCCTTACTCGCTGCTCGACCTGGGCTCAAAAATGGCAGCGGAGATCTCCTCCTCGGCGGGATCCGGTGGCGGCTCGGCGGCCGGACTGCCCTACGCCGCCTCTTCGCTGGCTTACCCGACGGCTGGAGGCGCTTTCCACGCCGCCGCGGCTGCAGCTGCCGCCGCCGCGGCCAGTGGGGGCCACAGTCACTCTCACCCGTCCCCCGGCAACCCCGGCTACATGATCCCTTGCAACTGCAGCGCCTGGCCCAGCCCGGGACTCCAGCCGCCCCTGGCCTACATCCTGCTGCCCGGCATGGGTAAACCTCAGCTGGACCCTTACCCGGCGGCGGCCTACGCCGCGGCCCTATGACAATCAGCGCCCTGAGGAGGAGCCCGGTGCCGAGAAGAGCCGGGCGGTCTCGCGGGGCCCGGACTGCAGCCCCAAGTAGAGCGCCGGCCGTCATCCCCGCTCCCGCTCCGCCTGGCTCCCCACGAGAAGCCCGCAGCCTGGCGCTTGGCTCGCCCTCTCTGCAGCTCCGGAGCCGAGAACCCAAGCCGGCAAACCGCCGGGGACCTCTCCCGGCTTGCTCCCCGGCATGGCTGGTGGGGTCGAGACGTCGCTGCTTCCTCGAAGTTTTCTTTCCCGGGAAGATCCCGCCTGCCACTGCAGGACCCGGTTCCGACGACCTTGGGAGTTGCTTTGCTTTCCCTTCCATTCCTCCCCCCCCCCCCCCCCCCCCCCCCCCGCCCCCTTCCCTTCCCCCCGCCCCCCCCAAACCCACGTCCTATCCCGACCCGCAGTTCCGAGTATGTACTAGCCAAGTCCCCGCACCTCCGTCCCGACGTATTCGCGAGGTTTTCCTTTTAATCGGTGTTTGGATGCTACTGAGCAAAAAGAGAGTTTGCACCCCCTTCCGCCCCCGTACAAAGAAGCAGAGCCCTTATACAAGACAGTCGTAGTTAAGGAGGCGTTTAATCCTCCCCAGAAGAGAAGCCGGCTACTCGCTCTTCTTCCCGCCGTCCACATATCTCGCCTGAAGTTTGTAAAATGTATACCTGTCCGTGAGAACTTTAGGTCTAAGGCTATATTATTTGAAAACCGTGGGTTTGGGTTTTGGCTGTGATCCTACGCCCACGTTGGCTCGCTGCTAGGGCTGGCTGCCTTCAAAGGGACTTGCTTCCCAATCAGACGAACGAAGAGAGGGGGAAATAAAATCCGTTAAGGCTCACCCTCATGTCGCAAGTCAGATTCAGACGGCTGCGAGTCGGTCAAACTGCGAGTCACTTTTCCTGGTTGCCTTTTGAGTTTGCGGCTTTTTCTTTTTCTTTTTTAAACCGGACTTCCCATTTGAGGGAAATAATATATTTATTATGATGTCGATGTATCTCAGTCCTGTGTGTTCAAGAGAAGACACTTGCCCCTTTTTTTCTCCCTAACTCCATCCTAAAGAAAATCCTTGGGTGTTCTCATGTGATTGGCAGTCACTCCGCTTGGGTGGGTGGGAGAAATCTTTATTTTTTTAATAAAAGCATAAATATTCAGTTGCAAATAATGATTTTTGGAGGAGGAATCAAGCTCATTTTAAACAATTCCCCCCATCCCAACAATTTTCTTTTACTTTTGTAATGTGTATATTTGGATTAATGTTTGTGAATCAACTTGCTTAAAAACAGTACTTAGGGATTCTTTCTTTCATTCTTCTTTCTTTCTCCTTCTGTAATATAAAGTTTTTTTGGAAAAAAAAAGTTTTTTTAAGTATTGGTTTTAACATTTGACGTGTATAAATCAGTTTGCTGGTGTGCTCTAATTTAAAATTAGACGTCTAAGCTATATCTGTACAATTAGACTCCGACTTAACCACTCTGTTCATTTTGGAACAAAGAGTTTAAATAAAAGCCTGAAGCAGGGAAAAGAGAAAATCCTCTATTTCTTGTTGAGTTACTTACAAGATGCTAATCTCAATTGCCCTTACCTGCCTAGGCCAGGGGAAATGTAAGGTATACTCCAAAGGCAAGCTTTGTTTCACTTTTGAATGGATTGACTAGGAAATCTAAATAAGACCATTGTTGCCTGATTTATCCCATTTGAAATCGTGAATGGGAAAGACGATTTAAAAAAAAAAATCCAATCCGTCTGTTATCATTTGAAAAGGGAAAGGAGATTAAAAAGAATCAGCATTCATGGACTCACTTAGATACACAGCCAACTTGGAGCTGGTTTCCACAGAATCTCTTCAGAGCAAAATCTTGCTCTTTACCCCTCACTATCAAAAGAGCTTCACAAACCCCTCAGGATTGATTCAGGCGTCATTGGGTGGTTTCTTATTTTCACAAAGATTTAATTCCGCACCCTCCTCTCCAGATTCTTCAGGGTTAGGCCCTCAAAAGATTTAAAAACAGCAACAACAATCCTACCAGAACAGGAGTGACTGCGAGTGAAATATGCCTAGGATTCTGCCACTGGTTTTTTTTGCCAGGCTTACTGACCTCTTTCCCGGAGGGAAGAGCTGTGGCACTTCAGGCTGCAATCTTTTGCAGGGTTTCCCCCAGAGACAGTGGCCTAGTTGGGGAAGGAGCTTCCTGAAGTGCCAAAGCCTTTTGTGGGGCCTAGCTTGTTCTTCATTCATGTGGGAAACAGTGCCAGGGCCCTGGATTCACGGGGGTTTGTTTGATTCAGGAAAATTGGGGGTCCACAGGTACCAAGTCCTCAAGGGCGAAGCCCACTGGGCAGACTCTGATTAGGACAGCTGTTCTGGTCTTCAAACTAGCGCCTGTTGGAAAGGATTTCTGCTTCCCTTCATCCTCTTCCTTGGGCGTGCAAAACACTTTCTCTCCCCAAGGTGCACTTTAACTGGTGTGGGGGGGGAGGGGGAGGCGGGAAAAATAGATTTGGAGGAATATTCTCATGCCCTAACTCAGCTCATTAAAATGATCCTGCTTCTGTTATCTCCCACATTTTTTTTTGCAGCTTCTAAGTGAATTTGTATGGTTTGGAGAGATTATGCAAAACTAATTCGGACAGTCCAGGGGTAATTAGCCCTGACACGGTTAATTAAACTCTATCAGGCTCTCCACCTCCACCCTCTCTCTTTGTGGCAGCCAGGGAACTTCCCGCTGATCTCTAGAAATCCCATTTTCACAGGCTTCTTGAGCTCGCCCTCCTCCACTGCACTAATGCAAGCCAACCTGTTGCTTTGGACACCGCTTCCCTCCCGCCCTGGCATTAACTCTCCCAGTGGCGAAACGCGCGCCTTTCCTGCCTGCCCCGCAAACGCCTCTTCAGCGCCTGCTAAAGTGGCGTTTCTAATCCCCCTTCGGGGCTGGAGAATCAAACCCAGGCAGAGAACAGAAACGGATTCAGATAATCAACTTGCCCTAGGAGAGTCTGCGCGGGTTAGAAAGTAAATCCACTGCATACATTAGGGCTTCAAATAATACACAATTGCAAACCAAACCCCCCCCAGCCCAGTCCCGCTTTGTGATCTCGTGTGTGCAACAGAAGTTTCTCTAGCAGGAAAGCTTTCCTCCGGATTACAAGCCAGATGGAAATCTTTTATTTTCTGTCCAGCAGGAGTTGCGTCGTAACTCCGTGAAAATGTTATTAGGAAAGTTTATTTTCAATTAAACAACGCGGTTCGGTAGATGTTTATTCGGAAGTAAATCCGAGAGAATGCCGTCTGATTTATTCCCGTTTAATTAAATTTGGAGCTGCACAAAGTGAATCGGTTTAGTGTGACTGCCGATTGTGACTTTTCCTTTTGCAGTCCGTTCGGGAAAGTGGCCAAATTCTCGAGCGATTACATACACGGTTATAATTTCCTATAGCAACCCCCCCTCCCCACAATAAAGATATTTCTTTCATTTTCTTTTATTATTTTAAATATATAATTGTCTCAGAGCTAGGCCACGGTTGCTTTTTTTTTTTCTTGAACAAACCAACCACGTGTTCCGAGATAGAACGCGGGGAGACCCTAAAATCCACGTGTTCCTCGTAAACCAAACCACACTTTGTCGTTGTTGTTGTTGTTTTGTTTGGAATTAAATCTGTTTCCCCCCCCCCCCAAAAAACAACAACAACAACAACAACATGTTCCTTCCTAGGAGAGTTTTTCCTCTCCCTTTCTACCCGTCCAGGATGCCACAGGGATTTATTTCTCCGGCGAAGGCCCATTTGAAAAGAGGCTGGGAGTTTTCCGGAAGGAACGCCGAGGAGGCGAGGATTCCACAAGAGAACGTCGGGAGCTCAACATTCCGTTAGAGAACGCCGCAAGTGGCTGAGATTCCGGAACGTTCGCTTTCTGGAGAGAAAAGAAGCGGGCCTCCCAGAGATCTCACTGCTTTTCAAGTGGGCATGGTGGCCTCCGTGGGGGACCCCGGGTGGCGGGGTCTTTTCCCAACATTTGCCCTGAATTAGCCTAGAAGACTTCGTGCCCCCCCCCCACCTCCCCGGCCTATTTGTGGGGGGGGGGGCGCTTTGGAAAACTTATATAATTTCAACCTCGCTTTTCCCTCTCCTTTCAAACTGGCACCTCAAAAGGTCATTTCTTGCCTTTTCAAAGCCTGATATTAATTCGTTGACAATTTCCCTTCTCCCTCCCCCTCCTTCTCTCCTCTCCTCTCTCCAGATCTCTCTCCTTTTTCCTTTTCTCCCCCCCCCCCCCGCCCCTCTCCCAGAGGAAATGGGAAATGAGGAGGGAGAGGGTAAGGGTGAAAAGCGCCCCTTCGCTCCCACTCTCCCTCTCTCTCTTTTTGTCCTGCAGTGGGAGCGTTTAGACTGTCGAGGGTTTTTTTTTTTGTGCAAGAACAAAACCTGAGGTTGGGGTTTTTGTGTGGCTGTTGTTTGTTGAAGTGGAGCTAAGAAAAAGCGGGCGGCTTTCTCCTCTTTGTGAGGAAACCAATCAGTAGTATTTGGAAAACTGTTAGTATTGTGCATTTCTTCTGTGACCATTGTAAGGGCCTTCTTTTCACATAGATCT